CTGATGAAGTAGATTCAATATATTGCATATAATAAAAACATATACATATATATATATATTTGTATTTATATTTATATATATATATTTATATATTAAATACGTTAAATATAAATGCATATATATATATATAAACATACATGCGTATATATACACGCATTTATATAAACCTAAATACATAATAAACAACTAAATAAACAACTAAACAAGTAAATAAATAACTAAATAAATAAATATAAGTATAAAGAATGCGTTTGTGTGTGCAGTTATCGTATTACCGGCAGCTAAGCGACACATTTATAGTAAAAGAGTTAGCTGAAACAAGAGAAGAAGTTGTTCTTCTTCTAAACCCCCCTGAGAAGCATCAAGGATGGGTGGACGCGAACGATCCCGACGATCCCTATCCTTACTGTCTCTGGGCACACTTTATGCACTTTGTTCAGGGGCCTCACTTTGCTGACTCTTATAAACAACTCCAAATCGGAGGAGGAAGGTATTAAATCCTAAACCCTAAACCCTAAACCCTAAACAGTAGATAGTAGATAGTAGACAGGAGAGAGGTTAAGAGTATATTCATTAGTTTAGGGCTTCATTTCGCTGACTCCTATACACAACTTCAAATAGGAGGAGGAAGGTAATAAACCCTAAACCCTAAACCCTAGACTGCGGATTTACTGGAGCCTTCTGGGGGCCGTCTTGTTTAGGGTTTAGGGTTTAGGGTTTAGGGTTTAGGGTTTAGGGTTTGTGTGGGTGTACTTCTGTAATCTCTTTGGCGCTCTTTGTCGTGTTTGATAATTTATTTATTTATTTGTTTAATTAATTAATTAATTAATTTATAAATTTATTTATTGATTTTATTGTTTGCTTCTTTAATCCTTTGTTTGTTTATAGGGCTTAAAATTTTATTATTTTGTTTGTTTCTCTCTGTCTCCTTTCTGTCTCCGTCTCTATCTTCTTTTTGTTTTGTTTGTTTGCGTCATCCTTTTAATTTGTTTATATTTTTATTTAAATATTTACTTACTTTACATTTAAATCGTACGTCTTTGTGTTTAATATTATTTTTAGTATTACTAATATTAATATTATAATTATTGTTAATCTTATTGTATTATTATTATTATTACAATTATTTATTATTATTATTATTATTATTATTATTATTATTATTATTATTAACTATTATTATTTA